TGCTGTTATGGTTGATACATTGTGTCAACTTGGGGAGTCTAGAGGTTTGGCTAAGTGACTCAGCAGGAAGCCAGGGTGCTTACTTTGTATACATCCTGAGCCTGTGGAAGAGGAGCGCATAGAGATTATGTGAGAGCTACATGCCCCTCAGGTGGGGGTAGCCTGTTTACAATGCAAGGCAGGGAAAAGAAGCTGCTTGGCGCCATTCTGCCCGTTTGCTCTGGCTGTTTGCTGTTCCACTGTCATTCCCCACTTTGCTCTTGTTGCTTTGCTATCTTCTGCCTTGGAGCCAGCCAAGTATGGACTGAAACCTCCACAAATTGTAAGCTAAATAAACCTTTCCTTAATTTTGTGCGTTGGGTATTTTGTCTCAGCAACGAGAGAAATGTAACCAAGCCATATGCCTTACCAGGTAAATGGTTGCAGATGATGCAAAAAAGGCCGATATCCAGCAATACATTCAAATACCATTGTCCCAAAGCTCCAATAATCAACAGTGGCGGTGTAAGGCTTATTCTCAAAGAGTTCTGGGGCCTTAAGAAAAGGAAAGAAAATGCTTTAACTGTCAATACTGTAAGGGAAAGGCTACTTTATTTTTGAACTACTGTATACATGACCTTAATAAATAAGAATCTCATGCATTTAAATTCAATGAAATACATATCTCACCAGATATTGCAGTGTTCCCACAAAAGATGTACAAAGACTTCCCTGATCAACATCTTTAGCATATCCCAGATCAATTATTTTATGCATTATCTGAAAAATAGTAAGATGGAATAAGTATTAAATGGTTGAAATATTGGAAAGCAAAGGCAACAACATCCTTGTAAGACTGTAGATAGTGTGGTAATAAAAAGTTGGGCTCTGAATTAACAATTTATTTCAAGGCTAAGCTCCACCACATAACTGCCACATGCTCCTAATCAAATCATTTAACGTCTTCGAGTTTCTTATATAATTAGATAACTAACAGCTCCTACTTTAAAGAATTGTTTATTAGGACTCAAGAAAATAATTAAAATAAAGAACACATTGCCTGATACACAGTAAAAAATGAATATAGGTTGACTAGTAATTTTTATTTTGCTATATTCTTCATAAACTTGATCCATTTAACTGGAAGGCAAAGGATGATTTCTGAACTTAGAGTATACTACTATCAGAAGGATTAAATGTGAATCAGCACCTATGTAAATTGAAGTGTGTCCCTAAGTCTTCAGATAAGAAAAAAAACAGCAAGCAGAGATAATTGGTGCAAAGTATATATAAAAGGCTCATATGAGAAGCATCTTCATCAAAGTGCCATCACTTCCGAATGACCAATTATCTTCATTAAGTTAGCACATAATCCAATGCAAGTTTTACACTCACTGTTTTAAGTCTTCACTGGAATGAAACTTAGATGCTAGAAACAAGAAAACTGCTCAAATTATTCTGATGAAAATAAATATATTAATTGTCAAGTAACAATTTCTCGCTATTATTCTGAAGATAATCTACTTAGGAATATGAGCAATCAAGGTTTCAAATTCTAATTAAACACAGCACTTAGGATTTGGAAGAAAATGGGTTTTAAGGAAACATACTTGCTTTTTTAAAGTAAAACAGGCCCAGGGTATGTATGTATGTGTTTTAAATGTGCTTCATAGCAGTAAAAAGTAAGGGTTGATAAATTATTTACTCGCTGCCTACTATCTCTGCTACACAGGATGCTGGAAAAACACATGAACAAAACAGGTTCAGTTTTTTCTCTAATGGAGCCAATGTTTAGGAAAGGACACAAAATCTAACCACAGAACTACAGTTGAGTATGGTGAAGACTGAAACAGAAAAAGTATGGAAATGCTCTACAATGAATGTGATCAGTATGTACATCTAAAATGTCCCAATAAAATCTGATTAAAAAAGAAAAGAAATAGAGAGAGTGCTCTAGGTACACAGCAAGAACATCAAAACTTAAAAACTGCATCAAGGAGACTGTGCAATAGGCACAGAACATTTTCTCAGGTTTACTTACCTTTCCACCAGCATCCTGAAGAACTATATTTTCAGGTTTTAGATCTCGATGTATAATTTTATTTTCATGTAAATATCGAATCCCAGACCCTAAATAAAGTTTAAAGAAAGTCTTTTGAAGAAAAAACATTGAGTTTAAAAAAATCCTTATCACATTTTATACAGATCTGCACTGATGCTCAAATTTACATGCATCAACACAACCTCTCAAAGATTATTACAACAAATCAGGTTTTCTTAACAGAAAACACAGGAACACTAAATACACAATGAAGTCACAATACATTTTCATTTAATTTATTAGAATTATTATTAAAAAGAAATGGAAAGATAACAGAGAATTCCTGTAACTCTTATGACATTTTCCTCCCACCATAAATCATCCTTTTCAACTAGACTTCAGCCCTCCTGACCTAGGAAAAGAAGCAAAACTAAAATATATAGGAAAACCAATTCTTAGCTTTTGAGTATACTCCAAGGGCCTACGTTCTGTTATCTTAGGGATTTTTCAGAAATAGTTCTGATTAAATATAGAATTTACTCTAATAATTGACTTGAGGACCTATCCCATAAAGAGATCCAATTCCATGGTGAACAAAATTACTATGTCAACTGAGGGTGCAGGGAGTGAAACTGAGCAAGTTCATTTCACACTATTTCTTGTCAGTACCTGGAAGATCTATTAGGCAAATGATTTTTAGCTGAAACCAAAAAAACACATAACAAGATATTCTAGTTTTAATTTAGAATGAATAGTAATAAATTTTTACCATTTCTTATAAATGTTAAATATCTATATGATTTGCATAGTACAGTAACAATTATCCTTAATTCCTAAATAGTACACAGAATCTTTTACACACAACCGGGCATTAAGTCACAATGGCATTTTAAACTGTTGATTACATACCTATATCACTGAGTAAAGAAAGTATCTGGCTTTCTTTCAGTCCACAACAATTTTCTGGTTTGTTGAGTAGCTAAAGGAAAAAAATAAAAAGAAGTCTAAAAATGTGTACTACAAATTGCTGGGCAGCAATAGCAATACATATTAATCACTGTACTCTAAAAGAATATTCAAAGGAGGAAAAAAGTCATGATAAAAAGTATATGAAGGGGAAAAAAATCACCAAATCTGAATTGAGGACATGTAAATTTCATGACAAAGCTCACAAAAGTAAAGGTAAAGGGGCAAAGGTATTTGAAATTTATACTGAAAAAGGCTGACAAATCTCACAGAGATACATCTATATACAAATAGCATATGAACAAATTTAAAATGAGTTAGGAAAGAAAACCTGTAGTAGAAAAGACAGCTTTTTTTGTTGCTGTTTTTTTGTTTTGTTTTGTTTTGTTTTCAAATAGGGTCTTGCTAGGTAGCCCAGGCTGGCCCTAAACTCACAGCGATCCTCCTGCCTCAGTGCTGTGATTATGGGCTTGCACCACCATGCCCAGTTGAAAAGATAACCTTTTTATAAGCAACTTACACACTGATACTTTGATTTAACACTATCAACTTAGTCTAATTTTGCAAACAACCAAAAAAAAAAAATTCTAAATCAGGGGTCAACAAGCATTTTCTATACAGTGACAGTAAATAGGCTTTGCAAAACTTAAGGTCTCTATCAGAACTACTCAATTCCACAGTCACAGACAAGAGCATGGCTGTCTTTCAATAAAATTTTACTTACAAAATAGGGGGCAGGCCATAGTTCTCTGATTCTTATTATAGATTATCACATAGAACATGATCCAAAAATGCTAAGGTTTATGATTTACTATCTTATCGCAAAGCATCCATACTACCTTCCGGAGATCTCCTCCAGAACAGTATTCCATTGCTAGAAGAGGCACATCATTAATTAAAAAATTCAATTCCTCAGGAACATCACAGGCTTTTACAACATTAGCATGGTTCAACCTAACAAGAAGAGAAAGACATTATAAAGGAACTCGATTTGAAATGGTAGTTAATTGGGGGTTAGGGAGGGACATGGGGAACATGGGTATTTTTATAAAATTCTAATTTGTGATTTGTATAACTAAAAATCAGTAATTTTAAAAAGGAAAATGTGTTAAAATACCACCATTTTTACTACTATTATATTTCTGGGTCAATCAGTAAGGACTTTAAATACTTCAACTCATTTACTTGTCACATACTACTAATAAAGATTTACCAAGAGTTTCATAAAACAGAAAAAAACTGAAGCACAAATTGGTTAAGTAATAAGATCTCATAGCAAGTAGGTTGTCAGTAAGGATTCCAATCTGGCAGCCTGGCTCCAAAGCTTGTATATCAGTGGTGGTGAACCTATGGCCCGTGTGCTGCAGCGGGCACACAGAGCCTGCTCTGTCAGCACATGAACCAAGTCACTCCGGCAATGCCCCAGCAGCCGAACATTCAGGTTTAACTGCAGGGTTGCCACTTTGTAATAAATAAGTGGGTTTTGGGTTACAGTTTGGGGATTTGATCTTTAAAAGGTTTACCATCAATGGCCTCTATCATACTGCCTCAAATGACCAATTACAATGTCAACAAGAGGTGAATATTAATAAAAGTGGGGCATATTTCCTTCTAGTTTTAAGCAAAAAGTTTTTAATAAATGCTGAATCACACCATATATTATCTAATAGTTCTTTTTTTTTTTTCTTATTACCAATCTGTTAGTCATCATGACCAACTGGTATAAATTCCCATATTCAAAAATCTAAAGAAACAGAATCTCCATATGGACAACCTGAGAATTTATATTATGCTTTCTTGATGATTCTGCTATATAGCCAAGTTTGAGAACTATAAAACTGAACTAAGCACAACACAGGGTCAGAAAGTGCTTATTTCAAACCTAGACTCTACTACCAGCTGTGGGACTGTATGAGCTCTATCTTACTCATATACAAAATAGAGATAATACCTAAACACAGGGCTGCAAAGACAGCTAGAGGAACGATCTCTATAGTTACACCACCAGTAGAAACATATTGCCTGTGAAAGTCTAAAATATGTCCACCTCTCTAAGAGTTAAATTCTTTTCTCCCTGAGTATATGATATAACTAGTGACTCATTTCTTTTTTTGTTTTTGTTTTTGCTTTGTTTTTTTTTTTGTTTTGGATACAGGGTCTTGCTATGTAGTTCATGTTGGCCTTGAACTCACTGTGTAAGTCCAAGCTGGCCTCCAACACAGCAATCCTCCTGCCTCAGCTTCCTGACTGCTGGGATTACAGGGGTGTGCCACCATGCCTGGTTAGTGACTCATTTCTAACAAATAGAATAAGATGGAAAGAATGAAGTATGGTAGAAAGAATGAAGTGTGACTTCCGAAGATACTTCCAAAAAGGTTTGTCAACCTTCATTTTGTTCTTTCACAAATCCCTTAAGAAGCTAGGTGCCATGTCATTAAGATGTTCAAGTTTCCCTACGGAGGCCCATATGATGAGGTTTCTTGCCAAAAGCCACATAAATGGTCCTGGAAATGACTATATCATCCCTGATCAAGACTTTGGAAGACTGCAACTCTGGCCAACAATTTGAGATATCTCAGGAGGGTCCTTGAGCCAGAAACACATAGCTAAACCAGTCCCAAATTCCAAAGTCACAGAAAGTATAGACAGCAAATGTTTACAGTTTTAAGCCACTGAGTTTTTATAAAGCAGTAGGACTATTTAACAAAAGTAGATACAAAAGAAATGAAAACAGTGATATATTACAATTTCCAGTTGCTTAACTAGAAAGTAAGATACATGGGGATTTCTCAAGATCCAGAAGAAATAAATTCTGCCTTCAGAGAACTGAGTCTAGTAGTACGTAGCTGACTTTTAAACTAAACTTTCTTAATCATATGGTGATGTAAATACTTAAAATAGAATAAATATAGTTGATGACAAAGAGAAATATATGTTCCCCAAAGATCCTTAGAAGATGGATTTTTGGCTCCCTTCCCTATGATAACAAATGGTTGGGTTGGAGAACTACAGAAATGTAAGTCGTTGGGCACACTTACTTCTTCATAATCTGGATTTCATGGCACCACCGTTCTCTGTTTTTGGTACTTAGCTCTAGGCGGCAAGACTTAATAGCTATTTTGAGATCAAGTTCCTGCCAAAACACAAAGTCAACAGAGAAAAATAAGTTAGATTCTTGCACAGATTTGGTTGCTATCAAAGAAATGTTAACCTGGGGAAACAACACTTTTTTAGCTTACTAATTAAACATACTATCCACAGCTTTCTTGAGTATATACTTTTGTTAGATAAACCATGAGACTGTTAAATCAATGCTTCCAAAATGTGTAATCTCTGACACAAACCAGAGGTGTAGTAAAGCTGTGTATGAGTAAACAGAGAAGTGCCCAGAGGCTGGAAAGGAAAAAAATTATACATAAGGAAGGAAGGAAGGAAGGAAGGAAGGAAGGAAGGAAGGAAGGAAAGAAGGAAGGAAGGAAGGAGGAAGGAAGGAAGACATATCTTGAATGGTACAGTCTGGATTGGGAGCTGGGAGGGGGAAAGAGACTAAAGACAAGATAGTTGATAATGTGTAGAGAAAAAAGGAACTAGAACAGATTATGAACTAGCCTAACGGTAGTATTCACTCTCTTGAACATTATGAACAGGACCTTGGTTGTAGCTACATCTTATGTAAAGTTTTACCATTGAGACTATCTGTACAGCCATGAACAACATAAATCTAAATATTTTGGAGTTGGACAGCAATGATGGTTACACAATGCAAATGCACTTAATACAACAGAACTGTATATTTACAAAGGTCAAAATGGGGATGGAGGTATAGCTCAGTGAGAGAGTGGTATAGCTCAGTGAACACTTACCTAGAATGCACAAGGTCCTGTATTTTGATCCTCAGCACCACACACACACACACACACACACACACACACACACACAGAGTTTAAAATGACAAATTTTACATTTATACATATATATTAAAATTGAAAGAAAATACTAAGTTAGTTTACTTATTTTTCCAACTTTTCAATCTCTAAACAAAGGGATATTATATACAGCATTTACCCAATGCATTTGAACATAATAAAGTCATTCCTTGACATGTAGAGGACTGTTTCCAGGACCTCCAGAGGCTATCAAAATCTGCAGGTTCTCAGTCCATTACATAAAACATCATATTTGCATATAACCTATGAATATTCTCCTGTATACTACAAATCACTTCTATATTACCTACAATACCTAATACAAGGTAAGTGATATGTAAATAGTTGCTATGTGGTATAATTTAGGTAATCATGACAAGAAAACTTCTATACACGTTCAGTGAACATGCATTTTTCATCTAAATATTTTCAATCGACAGTTGGTTGAATCTGTGAATACAAAATTCATGGAAGACCAACCATCCCTTTCTTTTTTTTTCCTATGCTGGGGACTGTCTTGCATATGTTGGTCAAGCTTTCCCTTGACCTATATTCTGAGCCCCTATATCCTTTCTTTAAAGTATTCCATGGAACTAATTTTTCCAACGCACACTGAGAAATGCTACCACTGTACTTTGTTTCTATGTCCATTTCTTCTGTAGACTTGAAATCTCCTGTAAGGTAGATAAGCCTCTTCTTGCTGATTTTGGCACTGTTAGTACCCTGAAAGTAACCAACTAAATAAACCATCTCAGGTCCTTACTTCTTTGTACTTGAGAATTTTAGATAAATTGCTAGGACATAGGTTCTACCTAAACATTAGTGTATAACGAAAGTTAAGTGATCCTGTTTTCTAGGCTTATTATAGATTATTCCTTTTCTCCTTACTCTAAGCCTGGTTATCAAATGTTCCACTTTTGAAGAAGGGCACACTAATAAACTAGAAAGTTCCCGAGAGATTTCTAAGATTTTAGAAAGCCCAAATCTCTTCTACCTAAAGTGATGAATTTCAGAGACAAAAAGTAGAGTACTGTTGCCAGGGGATGAGGGAGGAAGAAAATGGGAATTACTGTTTAATGGGTACAGAGTTTCAATTTGGGAAGATAAAAAAGTTGTGGAAATAAATGGTGATAATGGTTGCATATCGATGTAGATGTACTCCATTCTACTAAGCTACACACTTAAACATGGTTAAAATGGTGAACTTTATGTATTCTTTACCACAATAAAAAAAGGTATCTGTTTTTGCTTTCAGTGCTGGAGACTGAAAGCAGAGCCTGCTGCATGCTAAGCAAAAAAAAAGTGGAGAACTCATCTTCATCCATCTTCAGCCAAGGATCAAAATAAGCAGTCACAGGCCAGATGTGATGGCACACTCCTGTAATCCTAGCAGATTGGGAGGCTGAGGCAGGAGGACTGCCACGAGTTTGAGGACAGCCTGGGCTGCATAGTTATACCCCGTCTAAATAAAAAAAGTCGTAAAAGTATACCAGCATGCATACTTTTTTCCTTATGACCAGGCTAATGGGCAGGTGTAGATATCACAGAAAACATCCCACTGAAAGCACTTGGTTTCCTCTTTTTCTCTGAGTGCATTATGTTCCCTAGGATGCTAAAAATTATTAAATTTATATTTTACTACTAAAATATTTAATGCCTTAATGCTTCACCTTCTACTGTCTCACTCCTGTGCTTTATCTAGAAAGCTGCTTCAGTTTTCCCAGGTCTATTGTGACATATGCCATTCTAACTGCCCCACAAATACTCCAATTCTTTGAAGGTAGACTTATATCTCTTCTTTCTCCTATCCTTAATTATAGGCTCTCTATCTACAGCCATGTTTCTTAAAATAGCAAATTATGATTTCTCCTTCTGGATTCACTTCTCTATTCATAGGGCAAGTACTACAGTAAATTTTTCTTTTGGTACCGGGAATCGAACTCAGGAACTTGCGCTTGCCAGGCAGGCACTTGTGCCACTGAGCTAGATCCCCAGCCCTACTACAGTAATATCTTAATTGCTCATCTTGTTCTATATTTTTCCAAATTTATCCTTTGCAAAACTAATTTTCCTAGAGCACTATTTTTATCTTGATATTTCCTTTTTTAAAGTCAATGAAAGATGATGAAAATTATAATAATAGCAACAACAACAAAGCAGAAGTTGGACCTGCAATGAGGCCTTTGCCAGGCCAAATATCACTTAGTTTTATACACATTACCACCTTACTTAACTCTCAAATAGACCCAGGATGTATAAGGTGTGATAGAAAAGTATAGTAATTGTTTAAATTTTTAAAAATTATTATAGTAGAAGACACACAGCCGTTAATACCATGCAAAATATTCCTCCTCATTTTGGGATAAGTGAATACACTTATCCCATTGCTCTTGCCACATTCTGCAGCAGTCTGGAAGTCTTTCATTTGTATCTTTACTGGTGCTGTACTGGCTAACTCAAGGCTCAAATCCACTAAAAATGTTATCTTTCATGGTCATTTTTTAAGTTGCAAGGTGCCAGACCTGGTGAATATGGTGAATGAGTTCACATCATGTTTTTATTTGATAGAAATTGCCATAAACAGTTGATTAATTTGGGGTGACCATAAAATATGGTGAATGTTTCAATTTAAAAATTACAGTAAAAGACACATTACCACTAATTCCCCTGAAAATACCCTTGTTTTGAACACAACTATCTTTCTTGGCAGTGTGTCTTTTTAAAATTTAAACATTCAAGCCAGGTGGTGCACGCCTGTAATCCCAGCACTCAGGAAGCTGAGGCAGGAGGATCCTTGGGAGTTTGAGACCAGCCTGGGCTACAAGGTGAGTTCAAGGCCAGCCTGAACTGCATAGTGAGATCCTGTGTCAAAAAGACAAAAGTAAATAAATAAATAAATAAACATTCACTATATCTTTTGATCAACCCAGATATATACATTATTATTCCTATTTTACTGATAACAAAACATAAACTACACTTCAGGGACTATTAGTTCAGGGTCTTTTCCCCAAAAATGACCTTTAGGACAGCATGAACCTCTTAAATGGCAAGGCATCATCAGGTTGTGTGGATGGGCATCTGTGCTTTCTTTTGAGTAAAGGATTCATACTTTTTATTTTTTTTTGTTTTTTGTTTTTTGTTTTTTGGTTTTTCTCCGGTACCGGGAACCGAACTCATGACCTTGCGCTTGCCAGGCAGGCGCTTTGCCGCTGAGCTACATCCCCAGCCCCCATACTTTTTATTAGTATACTAAAAGACACATACCTCAAACATTAACTACTGTAACAACGGTAAAACATTTTCAGTTAAATCAAAGTAAATTCCTTGAATCTGATGTTAGCTGTCTTCCACAAAAGAGTTTCCACCTTCAATTTGTATCTTTCCCTTTTTAAACTATGATCATTTCACCAACCTACCGTCAATTTGTTCTCTAACTGGAAAGCACGCCCAATTCCAAAGTTTAGCCCAATGCTTCAAAGGCCTAACTCTTGCTTCACTATGAAACCTTATCTACTCCAGTCTCTACTTATCCCACCAAGAAGACACATGCAGGGACACACATCTAACAGGCAGGTCCCCTCCCCATCAGCACCATTTTCTCACCCATTTGAGCTCACACATACCCTCGGATGTGCAACTGCCTCACACACCCTGACAGTTTAGACGCATGAAGACACATAATCATTGTTACTCTCACGAAACGACTGGTCACATCCTGACACTCACACCTGAATTCGCCCTAACAACTCTTTCAACACACTACCCCGGGAACTGAGATACAACCTCAGACTCAGTCATGCAGGCTCACGAACACTGTATCACTGTCATCGTCTTTCTCTCTGTCTGTCTCGCTCTCTGTCTCTGTCTCTGTCTCTCTCTCTCTCTCTCTCTCTCTCACACACACACACACACACACACACACACACACACACACACACGCGGGAGCGCGCTCACTGGATCACAAATACTGCCTCACACTGACAACCCTGTGTTCTAGAGACGCTCTGACAAACCCACCACTGTTGCCTCCTGCGCCCCGCCTCACCCTATGCTGGTACAAACAGACATTTCCGAACCCTCCGGTGCCAAGCCGCTCTCGCATCTCCCAGGGCCCGCCCGCGCCCGGCCGCAGCCCCGGGGGCCGCTCCATGGGGCGGGAGGGAAAGCAGCTTCAGGTTCCGCCGCAGCTCCAAGGCCGGTTCCGGGCAGCCGAGGCTCGCGCGTCTTTGTTCTCGCGAGATGTATGTGTCACTTCCGGTAGCTGCCGCAGGAAAAGCCTCACCCCTGTTCTTTCCACAGCACCGCAGACTTCCAGGCGGTGACAGTGCAACTCAGGTGTCTTACATGCCCTGGGCATTCTTCTAAGTTGAGGACCCACGGGTGTTTTTCGAGACTTGAAAAAATATAAGATCTCTCCAAACTTTACCTTTAAATCATCAGTTTCTTACATATTCTTTCCTAAATTTCACCTTGTCTCCATTCCTGTCTGCAGTTACCTTTTAAAAAAATAAATCCATGCCATCTAGCCTCCAATTCCACCACCTGCTGAACTGGCACTGACAAACACCATTAAAGATTTAGATAGTGGACAATACAAAGCATTCGAAAGAATCCTGCACTAACAGGCCCATTGATACTTTAGCTTTCAGAGTTAATTATGACTTTCTATAACGCCCATTCCCAGGATTGCCCCTATAATCAAACAACTCAAGGATGACATTATTCGGGATAAAGAATGTTCTTCCAGAATTGGGAAGCTTCCCTAAATGTTTCACAGAGCTTGCTGTCTATCAGTCTTCTAGTTAACAGTTTGCTAGTGGTGTTCTTAGTTCTGGGAATTGTTTTTGAGACTGGCTGCAGGGCTGCGAAGGCAGGAATGCTGTTGGTGCAACAAGAGGTGCTTCTGAGTGGAAGACTGCATAGGGGAGCTAGCTTCTGGTTTTCCACTTGACTCAGTCATCTGCTTTATGGAATCCAGGGACTTTAATAGGTTTAAGAATCAACTTCTCATTTAAAAAAAAAATGTGTCGGTGCAACTAGCATGTTGACTGCTGTATAACATAGTAAATCAATGTTCTGGGCCACTCATACTGCTGTATGGGAGATTCTAGTTTCCAGATTTGGGTTGTTTAAAAGGAACTAGAGTATCAGACTAGGTTGTAATGGGGGAAGAAAGCCTCTAAGAAAACAGCCTTGATAGCTGGACAGACTTTGTATAGGACTATGGTGTGTACTGTCATGAAAATACAAAGCCCTTTAGTTTGCTGCAACAGAGCATCGATCTCTTAATTCTTACCCAGAAGAGATAATGAGGGATGCTGAGTACCTCAGCCAGAATACCGAGGATTGGGTTGACCCAAGTGGCCATCTTTGCAGGAATCAGCCCAGTTTCCAAAGTTTACTTTTTAAGAATTCCCATTCTCAGCTGAAATTTAAAAAAAAAAAAAAAAATCCTAGGCTGGTTGACTCCAGGATCCACCATCTGTAGGTTTTCAAGCCTGTTTTTTATGTCTAAAACAGAAGTGATACCTCACAGAGATTTTAAGAGGATTAAGTGAAACAGTGGCTGGGCCATAAATGCTCACTATATAGGAACAATTACTTTTCTTCTCACTCCCAACATACATTTTTCTGTAAGCTCTCTGCTCTTTCTCCATGTACTACTGGATCACTCTGTTTCTAAGCACTCCTTAAATATTGGGCATCTTTAGCTTAGGACTGTATTTACCCTATCTTACTTGTGTGTGTGTGTGTGTGTGTGTGTACATACTTCTACATTGTACAGGAAGTTACTTTTTCAAATGAAAGTAAGTATAAGCAACCCATAATAAAATAGTAATTTTTAGAACACAGTAATCACTAATATCCTACTTATTTTTGGAACAGATGGCAACTATATTTACTTACAAATACTGGTACATCTGAGACACCAAAGATACCTTCTTTAACGCAGCTACTTAGGAAATATACAAAGGTAAGTACCATCTAGTCTCTGGATGCTAAATAAATGGAGGGCTGGAATTCAAGTTTATTCAAAAGTTTGGCATATGGTCTCATTGTCTATTATCTTTTTTTTCAAAGAAACTTAAGACTGGTGGCTTTAGATTTTAAAGCTTACACTCCTGAATACCCCAAAGTGTTTCTGAGCTTTTGAAAAAAAAAATACGCTCCCTTCCGGGTCTGCTTTATCTTTATAAGTTCTGCTATACCATTTTTTCCCAGAATACATGGGACACTGAGGAATACTGTACTTCTTTATCTATTCCACAGAGGTCCTTAATTATGGTGGAAAATGAATGTGTTCTCCTTATATTTGTCAAAATACTTTCTATTAAATCAAGTACAGATAGGCCATGGGCCAAGAAGTATAATCTTTTAATAATCTGATAGGCACTGTCAATCACTTCTTTGGATATTTTCCCACTGCTCAGGATCTTTATTGGTTCCTACAGCTGAGTTCAAATCCTCTAGAGGGACATCAGATATGTTAACTACACTCCATACAGAATATTTCAGACTCCTTGCTCTCCAAGGACACACCCATGACAGTTTGAGTGGATACCAACCTTTTGCCCAATTTAGTGAAAATGAGCAGTATCCAGATTACAGCCACTTCCAGTAACAGTTTTTGGGGGAATGCACTGTTTCCAGGATATATAAGCTATATACTGAATTGGAAACAACTATCAGCAGTGGGGGCTATACTGGACAATAGTGGCAATCACTAATTTAAAGATGGCTACATTTCACTGGACTAATCTGAGGCCCTATTCTCTCTCTCCTGGCATGCACCGACTGTGATAATCACTAGGCTGGAGTTTGCAGTGACATGTTAATCTTTGTTGCAACATATTTGACATTTTCACTAAAGGGCCGCCATGTTGAAGATCCCTTACCTCACCCTTCAGTTTGTCTTCATGAACTTCACTAGGGCAAGTTGACCAGCTAAGCCTTTTAATAAAATGCTGACACTACGGGGCATGCCCAACAATCCAGTTCCTATAATGGAGACCTTACTGTGGCAAATGGACTCTTTTGAGGTGAAATTTTTCATAAGCTCGTATTTTATAGTTGCCATCTTGGACCTAGGTGTGAAGAGTCCGGAGCCCTAGAAAGGGACCTGTACCACCTGACAGAGTGATGAGGCAATCCTAGGCTTCAGAAACTTGCTCCTGGAACATTTATTCTCTGGATGGTCTACTGAACTTTTGCAGCCCAGCTTGTAGCTGTTCATTTATAGCTGCTCATTCAAGAGGTAGAGAAAGAGACTGGGGGAAAGAAGTAGGAAACTCATAGGCAAGAACACTGAGGAACAAAAGAATCACCCTTTCTTATTTTCAGACATTCTCATAATGTCATTTATGGCCTATAGCCTGATGATCCCTAAAGCGCTATCACCAACACAGATCTCCATGAGTTCAGGATTATCTAACAGTAACTTGACACATCTATTAGACATCTAAAACAATTTATTGAAAGCTGAACTTCTCTTCTAAATCTTCCCCTTCTCTTCCCAATTAGACTAAACTCCAGGACAAAAAAGCACCATGAGGAGGCATGGCCATATTCAGAGTTAGAAAAATGCCTGGTACATATATAGCTGAAGGACTAAGTGGGCTCATATATGAATAAGACGATGCTGTACAAGAAAAACAGTAAATGCCATTGGTCCCTTCTCTATCCTGGGTTACCCAGAGAGAAACTACCCTATGTGATTCTGGTAAGAGGTGGGTCTAATGCTCCAGCCCTTCCTATTTCACACAATACTTCATTTCAGTAGTCACAGGCAACAGGAACACAAGACACTTCTCAACTATTAAAAACAATTTGGAGCCAGCTGTGGTGGCACATGCCTGTAATCCCAGCACTCAGGAGACAGGGGCAGGAGGATCACCTCAAGTTCAGTGCCAGCCTGTTTTACACAATGAGTTCAAGGACAGCGTAATTACAGTGAGACCTTGTCTCAAAAGACACAAAAAAAAAAAAAAGAAAAGAAAAAAAAAGAATTCAGATTTTATTTGATAGTTTAAGTTTGGAAAATGTAGATAAACACAAGCTGTTCTTAGTGCTGAATGATGGACACACTTTTAGCATAGAATTTTCATCCTAGAATGACTTTCCTAAAAAAAAAATTCAATCCTAGGCCTCTTGTTGCAGGTAGGTTCCATGGGAATGCACGAAAAAGAGGCAGGGAAACAGTCCCCAAGAGAGACTGCAGTTTCATTAAAAACATGCTGGAACAATTTCTTTCAAAGTTCATGAAGTGTTCTTCCCTTTTTTTTTTTTTTTTTTT